CGACGCTCCAGCTCTTTGACTGCAGTAACGTTCCCCCTGCGAGCTAAGCCAGTGGTAGGAACAGAGGGAACTTGTGGAGGCAAGCACAAGGGAGAACAAGGCCTGTAAGTGGCCAGCTATTTATTGCCAGGAGGCTCGAGAGGTAGCTGAAGGATTCTCAGAAATCTTAGAGCTCCCCCATAGGTCACTGCCACAATTTTCCCCAGAAGGCCATGTTTTGTTTGTCAGGATTTTAGGATAACACACAATAGAAGTATTTATGCCTAACAGAAGGAGGAAACACATTTTACACTCTAAAACACCTCACGCACCTAGCTGTGCAAGGATCTCCATGCTGACTGTTGGTCAAGACTCTCCTGCCTGTATTTTCTTTCAAAACTATGGAGAGGTTTTGCTTTCCCCTAGTTCTACATAATTTGGATAATTTCCTTCTGAAGTGGCAGGAATTACCTTTTATGCTCCAGTAGCAGAACCCAGCATTTCTTCTGCAGTTTTAACTGGAAGTTCAGAAAATGTGGAACAGATTCCCAGCCTTTGGAAGTCTTTGCAATTTTCAGTTCTGTGTGTGTGATCTGAAGAACTCTGTGGCCTCTGCAAAGCACTAACGCTCTTACTACTCCATTTTGCTCAGAGGTTCACCTGGAGGTTGTCTACTTCATTTAGGGATGATGAGAATAGAAGAGAAAAGGCTGCATGCCACAAAACATCATTAGCAAAATGCATCGAATCTCAGAGGTCATTTGCCACATACCTAAATGGAGCAGTGACTCAGAATGCAAGCATTCATTGAGCCACGGAGAGGCTGCAAGCCGAGAGCAGGACCTGGAATCTGGGAGTTCAGGCACTGTTTCACTCACCTGCCTGTCAAATGAATCATTTAAATTTCAACAATGTTAAAATACAAGCCAGCATCTCCAAGGCAGCCAGCAGCAGACAAAACACTGCCAGCGTAGGACAATGCTTCTGCTGTTAGCCTCAGGTGTTACCAAAGATGCAGCGCCTCCACTGACATTGAGCTGATGGGGCTCTGCAGTTTAATTTTGACCAGCAAATAGTCCACACAAATCTCCATGAAATGGGACATGTAGACCATGGCAAGAGGCTGGAGCTGTCCTTGCTACCACTTTTGAAGAAGAGTATTTGTAAGGCAAAACGCAGAACATTGCTCCATCCCTTCCAACACTGGCAGCCAGCAAGCAGAGTCAACAGTTGGTCCCGTTAAGAGGCATTGCTGATATTACGGTGATAATGCTGCAGTGCCAGTAAGGCACAGGGTTGGGAGCTAGGACTCATGTTTACCAGGTAGCTTTCCAAACATACCCACGCTGGCTGTCATCACAATTACAGTTCAAGACAGCCTTGTTTTTAGCAGGTGTGGCTGCCGCATCTACAGGCACCTCTGCTTCTCATTAGCCCTAGCTTTACTCAAAGAGCAAACATTTCCTTACCTGGCTTGATTCAGGGAATTCAATCTATCTAGCTGACTGGCCTTGCAGAGACCTTGCAGGAGAGACTCTAATCCTGACCAGGAGCATGTGAAACATTTGGTGTGGAAAGTAATGGCAGGAAGGTTAGAAAAGTTCAGTAACAAGCTGGCTTGGTGCTCCAGGAAAGAGCCCAGTGACTGCTTCCACTCTAGCGCTGCTGTTGCGACCCTGTGGGGAACCAGTTTGTGATCTGTTGCCAGAGCAGTTTGGCAAGTTTTCAGACTTCACTGTGTGTACCCCCTGGCTAGTCACATTGCTGACACTTCCCGATTGTGACAGCCAGGCTGCAGGCTCTCTGCAGTTGACCTGACCTCCAAGCGGAGGCAGAAGTGCCTGACCTCCAAGCTAAAAGAGCCATTTTTGCTGTTTAGCCCCAGTATTCCAGCACTTTGAAACAACGCCACAAAGACTTAATGCTTTACACCAGTGAGCAAATGTTTCATTAACTCCTATCCCATTTGCCATTGGCTAGAAAGAACAGGCAGTCCATGGGAAAGCAATGCACCTAGCAGAATGCTTACAGTTACCAGAAGCACTTTGCAGTCAAGCGGAAACATTCAAACATGTAGACTTGAGTGCAGAGACTGCAGAGGCTATAGTAAGCCATTCTGAAAGGTCCAAAACCCAAGAATCCACACAATTCCTACCTTCCCAGCCTGTGACCTGAAAGAGCATTTATAGTTAACATTAATGCAGTGTTTTCAGAAGAGCAGAGCTGCAGCCAGCTGCAGTTGGCAAGATGCAAAAGCAATGCTGTGTTTGGAGGAATTCCAGTGATTCATTGATAGATGTAAAGGCACTTCATTTTCTAGATTTCTTTAAGTATCTTTTTTTAAACATAGTTTAATACATAATATTTGTAATGCATCTTGGAATGAATTGGTCATCGCCAATGAGGCATTGCAAAATATAGAAAGAGGAACATTTGGGGCTCTCAGATTCCCCTTTTTTGCTTCTCTCATTACATTCAAACCCGTTAGTTCTGCTGCAGATGGCTCACGCCCTCTGCTGCTCAATTTGAATCAATCTGGCAATATCTTTTGCCACAAGACTGATAAGTCACTGCAAAATGTAAATATAGGGCATGCTTGTAGTGGGACTACACCACCTGAGTGTAGTCTGAAGCCCTGGCATAGCTAGACAAATGAAAAAATAAATAAAGAGAAATCCTAACATATACAAACTAGTTCAAGTTGCTGCCTTCTCTGCTAATAAAGAGTAAAGAAAATAAAACCCTCATAGTTAAGCATTCTCCTGATGGGAAACTCCAAGAACGGGATGCAATCGTAAGACTGTCAGGATCACTGTTATTAATTGCATTGGCAAGTGTCATGAGTTTCCAGATGCTTCCTCCCTCCTAAAGAATTCTTCTACCAGCTTGTCAAATTTCTCTAAGGAATTCTGCTTTAGGACATTTAAAGGACTGAGTAAATACTGCTCTGCCAATCCACATGGAACAGTCTCATCAGAAACAGGTGACTGGCTAACAAGGTTAGTCGATATTACTACTGCTGGCTGTTCTCCATTCAGCTGAGCTGGTGTACACTGGCTATGGGGACTGTGGCTGTTGATATCCATCTTGATTTCCTCCCCTTTCTCCTTGCATGTGCGACAACAAATGCAGCCTTCTTTGGAGCAGAAAGCTGACTCACAGTTCTGCTGATGAACCTTAACATCCCTAAACGTTTCAGACTTGCCAGTATATTTCTCTGGGGATTCAAAAACAACTCCTCGAGGCACAGAACGCTGAGCAGCTCTTTTCAATGGACACACAGATTCCTGTCCTTTCTTTTTCTTTTTCTGCTGTACAAACTCTTGCACAGGCTCTGGGATTTTGAGGTCAGGAAGTGCTTGGCGATCAGAACTCAGATATTTCTCAAAGTAAAGTTGGCACATGCTGCCCCTCACAATCGGGATGACTGAGCATGGTTTCAGCCACTTCACAAACTCACAGAGCTCTGAAAAGGATGAATGGTCAGAGTAGGGAATAGGGTAGATGTTGGGGTGGGTGACCTTCACAGGCCTGCCGGTGGGGAGGATGGCAATGGTAGGGTGCAGCAGGTTCCAGCTGACGAGAGTGTCCCAGCGGATCTCAGCAACGTCCACGGCACGGATCCAGCCGGCCCCTTCCTCGGTGGTGAACACATCGGGCAGCTCCAGCAGCCGCATCTGCTCCAGGCGCCAGGGGCTCACCACAACCCAGGTGCTGAACTCCCCCGCCAAATCCACCAGCAGCGTCTCCTTCCCCAGACTGTACACACCTGCAAGTAAAACCATCAGCAGAGGGACAGGGACATGCTGAGGGAGCGCGAGGCCATGCTGAGGGGGCCAAGGCTCTGCAAGGGGGCCACGCTGAGGGGGACGAGGCCACGCTGCCGGGAGGATGCTAAGGAGCGCGAGGCCAGGCTGAGGAGGACACACTGCTGAGGGGACCACGGCCCCACTGAGGGCAGGGTGCCGAGAGGGCACCGAGAGGCGCTGCGGGGAACGAAGTGCTGCCGAGGGGAGGCGGCGCCGGGGGAGCGCGAGGCCGAGGGCAGGCGGCCTGGCTGAGG